CTTAAGGCTGCTGCATAACATGCCAATGCTCTGCTTCTGAGCTATATAGATTTGTCTGCATTTCCCCCAGTTTTGATCATCAATGAATTGGTTTATTTGCATATTTCTCCCTCCCACACATACATTTTTCCCCTCCCTCTTCTTTGATCTTATTATTGAAATTGTATCATCTAATTAACACTATTGTAAGCAAAGATGGTTTTCTTTTGTTAATTAGTTCAATGCGAAAAGGAATTTTTTTTTTAAAAAAAGTAGGTTCCTTTTGCACATAATTTAGAAGTCAAAATCTTCAGTTTAGAATGTCATTTAACTCCAACTCAACTGCCATTTGGATTACTAGAAACCAGAAATTTTAAGTTTAACATTGGTGATTTTTTAAAAGGTTGATTAAATAAAGACAACATTGGCGTCTTTCAATTCATAACAGTTTACAGGAAGTGCCCACAGAACAGATACTGCTACAAACAATAAAAGATCCACACTAAATATAATACTAATATAGTCATAATATTAACATTAAAATCCTTATCGTCGGATTATATGATAGATACTCCACAGATGCACCACTAGATGCAATGACATTAATGGCAATAAATGATTTAACTCCTGAGGGCATTTTGGAATAATTCTGTTTTTAATACTTTCTGGATGAATATCACAAATAATATTAATCTATTCATAGTGTTGGTGCTGCCATTGCCATGGCCATTGTCCTATAGTTTTCAACTCCCTCCCTCCCATGACTTATGAAAATATGAGATTGTCAGCAGCTTTTTCTGTGATATATGTACAGGATGAGCTGAGTCTTGCCAGAAAAGGGAGTCCTGAAAATGCTTTAGTGCAAGCCCTTAATCCTACCAAAGGACTTCATAGGTCAAAACTCAACATTCTGATTTGTATTCAGAAGTCTTTTGGTAACACAGGCAGAGCCTCGAGTGCCGGCATAATAAGCCCTTAGACATTAATCCTTGCCCTTTAACTGAGCTGATACACTTTGCACCAGTTGTAGTTTTCAAACGCTCTTCAAAGGCCAGTGCAATATCCTGTGTGTAAAGAGGAACATAAAAGGTCTAAGTGCTTCAGATAGGGGCATGGCTGTTGCAGCAGCTGAAGATGGGCATTGACATTACCAATGATGAGATGATCCTATCAATTCCCACTAACAAAACTTTTGGGCTTAGTGGTGCCATGCCAAGAGGCTTTTGTTGTTCTTGCATCTCTTTTTGTCACTTATGAACAATCATATCCTCACCTCTAAGAGTTCAATTACCATATTTTTCGGAGTATAAGATGCACCTTTTTCCCTCAAAAAAGAGGCTGAAAATCTGGGTGCGTCTTATACACTGAATACAGCATTTTTTGCCTCCCAAAACTTACCAAAATGGCCATGCATACCTTTTAGAAGGCTTTCAGAGAGCTCATGGGGGCTGGTGAGGGCAGAAATGAGCAAAAAATGGCCCATTTTTNGGGGGCAATATGCTGACTCTGTAAACCACTTAGAGAGGGCTGAAAGCCCTATGAAGTGGTATATAAGTCTAACTGCTATTGCTATTGCTATTGCACAACTTGCATACGGATTGTACCTGACATATGCAGTTTCCTCCTTACATGGCTGGTCTTTTCACATTTATTCTAAACTAGATTCTTGGTGTGCAGGGTTTTAACAATTGAACTAAAACTCATAGCTACCCAGGCCAACCCAACTGGAGTGATGAATGTTATAATCCAATCTATCAGGAAGGTGCTAGGCTGGAAAGGGGATTCTAAACCTCTGTTTTATTTGTTTTCTTACTTTTCTTTTCTTTTTTAGGAATGTAAAGGCTTCTCACCTTAGAGAATAACTCTGGGTGGCTGACAATAACAATAAAACCACAAACATAGCAAAAACTATAAAAACAAAACTAAACACGAAACCCTAAGCCCCCAATCATCCTGCTGGGATCGGAATGGGACAACTTGCCATGGCCAACTCACTGCAGGACAATTTCACAATTCTATTTAATTATTTAAAGTAAATAAAAAAAATTAATTTTTTTCCCATTTGCATTTCATTCTGTTCCTCCTCTTGTATCCTTTCTTTAATGATTCTATTCTACCATTTCTTTCATATTAGTGTAACTCTTGTCCCACCGTGAGTTGTCCTGTGGCGAGTTGGCGGTGCTGAGTTGACCTGCAGCAAGCTGGCCATAGTGAGTTGGCCATAGTGAGTTGGCTGTGGCAATTTGGCCATGGCAAATTGGCTGTAGGGACTTGCCCTAACAAACCATCCAATACTCAGCCAAGGATGTCTACACATATTTCTCTCCTTTTCTGATTAATTCTGTCATTTTTCTCTAAGAGCCAAACATTGTCAAAGTCCTTCTTGGACAAACAACTTGATCCTACATTTACCCTGCCAAGCAACTTCATTTAATCCAGTGAAAGAGACAACCATGCATAGTGATTAAAATAAAGAAGCCAAGAAACACATCTTAAATATAATTGTATATGCAGTTTTTGCTTCCAGACTGGACTAGAATCACATGAAGGGGGAAAAAAATCTTCCATCACAGAAAATGGTAGTTAGGTGGTCAATCTAAAACAGTGTTTCTCAACCTTGGCGACTTTAAGTCCTGTGAACTTCAACTCTCAGAATTCCCCAGCCAGCACAGCACAGCTGGCTGGGGGATTCTGGGAGTTGAAGTTCACAGGACTTAAAGTCGCCAAGGTTGAGAAACACTGTTTTAGATTGACCACCTAACTACCATTTTCTGTGATGGAAGATTTTTTTCCCCCTTCATGTGATTCTAGTCCAGTCTGGAAGCAAAAACTGCATATACAATTATAT